GCAGGAATAGTAATAACAGATTTGAGGCGATTCAAATATGTTATTACTATTAAATCAAATCTAAGTTGTTTACTTCTCTGGGTTTTCCAGTGCCTGCTGTTTGCACTGGCTGAGAATTCAAAGCTGTCTCGGGGAGTTGGATATGCAAGCCCCATTAATTTTATGGGGAGCTGGGCATTCAAATTCTTTTAAAAAATCTCAGTTCTTCTGTTTGTCTTGGTTAGGTTTGTAGCTCTCACAGGAGGAGCTGTCTGGATTGTACTGCCCCAGGCATATACTAAATCTTGCTTTGCCTCCTAAAGATGAACCCATGCGTTAAGAGGACATGCCCGCTTGTCCCAGTTCCTGTGAATTGCAGCTTCTAGACAAGCAGACCTCCAGGCTAGCTATCTGTGAACCCGTGGTTGTCAGTGTCTCAGGTTATATTTGCATCACTCCTTAAAACTGATTCAGGGAAAGATGCAGCTCCCACCCGGAAGGTGGGAAGCGCTCTGAAGCAGTATGGCCCCAACAGCATCCCATGGCATGAGACTACCTGTCTCACGAGGGAAACGACAGGAGGGCCCTGCACCATCAACACCTGACTCTCGTACTGGTTTCACATGGGTGTAATTCACTGAAACTAACTCCTATGAGAGAAGGACTCATGAGAGATGAGAAGAAACCTGGGCCTTGTCTCTCATATATCCAGGTTCCTTCTGAGTCTATAAAAACAAAATCAGACTGACTTTTGCAAAGATTTTGCATACTTACTTGTGCACCCAGCCTACTCTCAGATCTTCCACATAATACGTAACATAGGAGTACAGTCTGATACCCTCAGCTGTGCTCTGGATTTTCAGGTCTGTCGCAGATAAAGCTGAAGGAAGAGCACATGGTTTTATGCAGCCATGCAGCTATTCACTGAGTGTCACAATGAGTCATTCATCCGAAAAGAGAATTAAGTGCTTACCAATCCTTCTGCATACTTCATTCATCAGGTCTGCAAAAGCTGTGGAAATAAAATCCAGAGACTAAGACTCTGTGTCTGCAGCTCAAGCACAGTCAATAATAGGACAAGTACTGGCTCTGAAATATTCTCCCCAGTAGGTTTGAAAAAGAAATTTGACCTACCTTATAAAGCATATTAGAAATCTAAGTAATGTAGAAATATAGCCTGTTACATGATTTCCAGACTTTATTTAACAGCAGCCTTGATGAATACTGCTGCAGCTGAACAAAACTGGTTTTTGTTGGGTTTTTCTTTTTTTCATAAATGACACTATTCAGTTGGAATGCTAACACATCTATATACATTCTAATGGATACGTTTTTCTCCACTTGCTTGGAAACATAAGTGACATTTTAAAAATATAGTAATCACAATGATCGAAAAGGCCCCTAAATAAATGAATGGGAAAACGTAATAAAAATATGAAATCTTTTAAAACTATCTAGTTCTGTAATTTCTTTCTATACTTCCCCCCCCGGGGGAAACCTGTTATCATTTTGCTTAGCGTTAGTCATCGTACTCTCCCAAAATTATACAGAATCCAGATGCAATAAGCTGTATTCGGATATTATTTGAATTGAAAAAAATCTCAGTTTTTCTAATGATATGATCTTATACACAGGAGGAATAAAAGCCATAGGACCCCGCTTGCAGGCGAACAGTCAGGCTGTCAGCTGGTGTGGCTGACAGCATGCAGAAAGTGGGTCTGACCTGTGTCCTTCAGCTTCAGCTCACTGGAGTCCTTTCCTCTGTCGTCCTTCAGTATGACTTCATAAGTGCCAGCATCTTTCTTAGAAAACTGCAATATTGTAACAGTAAAACCAGTTTTCAGAACAGTTACTGTAGAAAAAAAATCTAGATTTTACTCCTGAACCCAGCTGATGTCCCGCCCCCGTCCCCAGGGAGGTGCCCGATGCCCGGGGCTGGGGCTGCCCC